GAAGCAGAAATGAGGGAGAAACACTCAGAAACGTCTCCTTCCATATCATGGCTAGTGTGGTGACTGCGATTTACGTAAATCTACCAACATTGCCTCGATTTTGGGAAAAAATTACGTTTCTGTCACATGACATCGGTTAATGGAAACGCCGTCATTGCGCAATAGCTTTTAACGACATTTAGAAAATATTGCATTGTTGCAAATTAGAATTGTGCAAATCTCTAATGGAAACGTTCGTGGTTGTGTTTCCACATACATCACATCATACATCACATACTGTAAATAAGTCACAGAATAAGAATATATGAGTAACTCAATTTTGACAAATATAACCTTATAATTCCAAGGTGGCAAAGGGTCAAATGCAGAGGAAGGGTTACATATAGGGTTATTGTTGTTTTTTAAAGTACAAAATGAAAGGTTGCCAAATCATGTGAAATTGTTCTGTTCTGCCTAGCATCGTAAAAAAAAAATTTCTATTTGAATAAACTGCAACAGGTTATGTATCCAATGAACATAACTAGGTGTGGAAGGATTTTCCCAGTTCATTAGTATAAGCCTTTTCGTAATTATTAAGCAAAAAGCTACAGCATTTGACTGTGAAGATGATAAGGACACCTTTGCGGGATTAGGACCAAAAAGCGCTACTAAGGGGCACAATTCAACATCTAAAATAAAAATTAAATTGACTTGAAGATTGGTGTCCAGATGCAATGCAAAGATTGATAAAGAGAAGCTGGAGCGTGTCGACATCTGATCAAGATCCGGGTTCATTTGAAACGGTTTAGCTTTTACTTCTACTGTGTGCGATTTCCCCCATGTAAACAATACTTTGCAGATTGTTATATGGCATATGGGAGACAAAACGCAGAGCGAGCACTTTCTCCTTCTACTATCCTCTAATATCATCAGTAAGGAAACCTTACCTAGGTGGGGGTTTTTATCAGTCTGCCTGGAAACAAAGTCGTGTTTACAAGGCGTGTTGATGCAGCAAGCGCTTCTGCTGATGAAATAATTACAGGATTTGCCAGGTTTGTCAGGTTAGTGGAACCAAATATTAGAAAGAAATTGACAGTTTTGTTTAAAAATACTGAGTTACACCATGATGCGATGCGACGACACGCAATAAAAGCCGTGTTTTCCGTGTTAATCAGAGTTTTTTTCCTAAAAAGCCATGACTGCGATACTATTTAGAAGCTGTTTCTATTTCTGTGACATTGCAGATGGAACAGCAACAAACAAAGTAATCTCAGGTACTGATTATGTGCTTTATTTAATGGTAAAAGTGTCTAATGCGACATTAGACACTGTGAATATCTGTGAATATCATTTTGCATAACCTTTATAGCTTATTCGCTGCCTGGCATTTTATAGCATCGCGTCTGGTGGTCAGGACACTGTGTAACAAGTGAACTAGACGTCCATGGGCAGAACTGTATATGGCACGCCACTTTGTTTTCTGAGTTATGTGAGGTATCTTAGGGCATTTTTTTCTTATCTGATTAAATAGCCTACAACGATTGTTTATGTCAAATGATTACATTTAATTAATAAACTTATTTAGAATAATAAGACACCATAGGGCTGTTGAAATGAAATCAGTTTCAATAAAATCTTTGCAATGCAGAGGAACACAGACTGTCGAATGCAGCTCATGAATGCATTTCACCTGCAGTTACAAATGCATAAATAATGTTTTGAGGTTTTGAAAATAAAACATTGATAATATATGAAATGATTTAAAAAAAAGGAAAAGATATTTTAAATATGAAACTAAAACTGCCAGTAGGGGGCAGCAAGTCACTGTTAATGAGCGAATCATTGAGTCATAATTCAACCGATTCATTCAAATGGACTGATTCATTCAGTAACGAAACGCTGCAAGACTGTGGTTTTGTTTGGAACTATTCTGTTGGCGAAATAGAGCAAAGCAGGCAATATTGTGTCTAAAATGTAAGTCACTTAATGGTTTATAAACCTGTTGTATAAAATGAATATTGCATTACAATGTTGCTGTGGGACAATGGGAGAGACACCTATTAAATTCAATATATCATTGTAAATATTATCATTTATATACACTACCGTTCAAAAGTTTGGGGTCGGTACGATTTTAAATACTTTTAAAAGAATTCTCTTCTGCTAACCATGGCTGCGCTTATTTGATTAAAAATACAACAAAAATCAGTTATATTATTAAATATTATTCCAGTGTAAATCAGCTGTTTTCTGTGTGAATATATAGTAAAGTGTAATTTATTCCTGTGATCAAAGCTGAATTTTCAGCATCACCAGTGTCAGTGTCTTCAGTGTCAAATGATCCTTCACAAATCAGTATAATATAAGGATTTGATGCTCAAGAAACATTTATTATTATTATCAATGTTGAAACAGTTGTTGGTCTGTCAGTTGTACAGTTTTTTTTTTTTTTTTTGATTCTTTGATGAATATGAAGTTCAAAAGAACAGCATTTGTTTGAAATAGAATCTTTTGTAACATTATAAATGTCTTTACTGTCCTTGATAAATAAAAGTATTGATTTCTTTCCTCCAAAAAATAAAAATAAAATTCTCACTGACCCCAAACTTTTGAACGGTAGTGTATAAGTGGAACAATAAAACACAATAGATAAAACTTTTAAAATGTATTGCACAGACAATAACAAATAAGTCTAAAATTAAATTATGCTTCTTAAGAAATGTACCAAAAAATGAATAAATAATAATACAAAATATACATACACTCTTTGTGTGTGCAAATTAAAATGATAAAACTGTCACACAACTTCACAACTGGTAGACATACTGTAGCCTACTTAAAGTATTGTCTTCCTCACAGAAGCAAACAGTTTAACAAGTGCTCTCAATATATAATACTCAACAATGTACCAAAAATAAATAAATAATAAAATATAATATTTGGGGTTTTTATTTCCATCATCAGAGGTTATTTAAGGCAAATTCTAGGCGTTTGCCGCACGTGTTGACAACCGGTCAAACAACGATGTTTTCTGGGAACGTTCCCTCAGGTTATTCTTGGGTTTTATTTTATAACCTAAAGAGAACCTTCGTGTTATGTTTTAGATTTTATTTTTATAACCATGTAAATTAATTAAAACGTTGAAGGTGATACCAATAGGCTACAGAGATTATTCTAATGCTGAAATGTGTCATTAATTTATAAACAAACTATATAAAGCTCGGACACACTCGGTCTTTATCGCGCACTGTCACTCGCTCAGCATTCCCTTCGTTTTGTCCAGTCCGGCTCCTCATAAACACACACACACACACACATACACACCAGACAAAAAAACTTTGCAGGTCCTATGGCGGAGAGAGAGCGTACTCGGATGAAAACCACTTCAGTGAGCTCAATTACAGTAACGGCACATTTTATTGTCAGTAACGGTAACGGCGCTGTAACGGGGGAAACAGTCATTCGTTTGATTACTCGTTACTGAAAAAGAGAACGCCGTTTATTTATAACCCCATCACATATTCCCAACACTGCTAATGAGCGACACCCGCGCGACGCACCAGTCTCGTATCGCTCACGGAGGAGCGGAAGCATAAAGGTGGAGCGACGACAGTGAAGGATGAGAGAGGACCAGGCCTGGATTTCTGTTTCTGTTTTATTATATGTGACAGCAGTCGTCCGTGAGGGCCTGCTGTCTTTACTTTCGTTTTGTATGTTTCATTTATTGTATTAAAGTAATGTTCGCCGGTTTCCGCCTCCTTCTTCCCACAACAACGAACTCGTTACAGGGACATTATTACATAATGTCAGATTGCACATCGTTAAAACAACAATTGCAATACTGTCGTAGATGATACATCTCCCACACCCCTAGTATGAGCTATTTAATATAATCCCAGGCCTAAGCGGCAAGAGAAACAAAACAAAAAGATGTTGGTTACAGGGCTGGGCGATAAACAATATCATATCGAGATCGCGATAAGATTTATGTGTATAAGCTCTGGACATTTGTCCTCGATAATATGGATTAATCTTAACAGCCTGTCACACTGCAGAAATAAACGCGACAACGGCCATGTCGCTAATAAGTGATTTCTGCGTGTCTCTGTGAGTGAATGGTGCGGTTTCATCAGATACACAAAATCATACACATGTGACGCTCACAATGTTTTCAGCGCCTGGCGTCTAAATATATGAGGACATAAACACATGACCTTCATCTCCAGAGCTGCTTAGAGAGTCACTTCACAAGCTTTTCACTGTTTCATTTGAGGAAAAACTGCCGTCAAATACATTGAAACTGAAAATAAAACTGAAAGACCTTCACGACAATCCGTCAAAATAAAAGTTCCTTGAAGAAATTATGACAGAAATATATCACTACTGTATCACTACTGAAATGTAATTGTTTAAGTAATGATGATACCATTATTATTTTTTAAAGAATATCATATATCCAAGATATTTTTTATCCATGTTTTAATTTATACAGTTCTGTTGTGCAGCATCTTATATTTTCATTTGATTTCATTTTAAAAGCTTGATTAGATTGTTAAAGTTGTATCAATTCCTTTCATTAGACACCATTTTTGACGAGAAATTTGTATTAAATCATAAAAATTGGAATCCAGAATTTGTATTAATGAAAAACACAGAATTTAGGGGAAAATGAAATGGACTTCATGGGGCCCTAAATTGAAAGGAGTTTATTGGTGAACAAACAAGTTGTGTTTATTTTAATTCTCAAGGTCTAATAAATATGTGGAAAGCATTTCCTTTCCCATTAATGGTAAACTAACATCATGATAAATGTCGTTATCGAATGATATGGAAAAACATACTGTGATAATAATACATAACATATCGTTTAGCCCTAGTCGGCTGCAATATGGACCTAACCAAACCTTGCACTCCTTTAATAAGATAGTGACATGCAAATATAAAGAAGAAAAAAGCTAATTATACAGAAGAAGTTTAGAAGATAAGAGTCTACAGTGAAATACCAGGGTTGATTTTCTTACCCGACTGGTCCAGTTCGCTGGTTTCTGTTGAGCCCAAAGCCTGCAAGATGATCCGGGCCTGTGTCCTGTCCATCAATGGGAGTCTGTCCTGCTCGTGTGGGGCTTCATTATATCGCCGCTATACCTACATAAAGAAACACAATGAAGTTTGAATGATGAGAGGTTTGAACGACGTGAGGGTGAGTAAATAATGTCAGAGTTCTTCTGGCTGAGGAACTTATGAGGATTCACCATAAATAATTTCTGTTATACCCCCATATCTGAAAGAGATCAAGGGCTAACGATTTATCTCCTATAAACTAATTGTTTGAAATTGAAAGCTGCAAGGCAAGAAGATGTAAGTAAAGAACCAGAGCTTCCATCACCACGGCAACTGCATGCAACAATCTACTATTTTAGGCACGATTTAACGCCCATACTACAGTTGTTAACCCCTGGAAACTTTGTAGCCTATGTATATATACCACTCAACATATTTGTTTATGGTAATTACATCAAGCCGTCACGATTTTTCACTGCAGGCAAAAGGAACTGGGTGATATAAATCAACTTCTAGCTGTGACTGAAAGATAAGCGGAGTAACAATATTGCATGGTGCAGAATGACCGTGTCATTTCTAACTGCACACAAGTAAAGAAAGAAACGGGATGTATAAGTGTGTAAAGCCCCTTTCACACAGAGATTCCGGAAAATACATGGATAAAGTGACCCGGGATTTGACCCGGGTTCGTTTGATTTTGCTTCATTCACACTGCCAGTGATTTGCCGGAAACAGAGAGCGCGTTCACACACAACCCGTGTATGTTCCGGAAAGACGCGTGACGTTGGATGTGACGGGTCTCTACTTCAGTCCAGTTTGCAGACATTTTTTCCTTCTTTCTTGTATCGATGACGAACACAAACTTTCTTCTCGAGTAACTGAGCCGCACGATAACTACGTCATTGCAAAGGCTCGTGAATCATCACTACGACACACCCCTTATACGGCATTGGTTCTGGCTTTTGTTCACACAGCGCGCGTTCCGGGTCTGAACACGGCAATGTTACTAGGTCCCCAACCCGGCATCGATCCCGGCATCAATCCCGGGTCATGTTTGCGTTCACACAGAAGGAACTCTGGCAATTTGCCGGGTTCAAAGCGCTGTGTGAAAGGGGCTTAAGTGGTGTAAAAGACCTGGTCCAGGACTAAGCCTTCACAGGCCACATCCTAACCATAAGCGCCTTTCACTAGTTTATGATGAATCAGAGAAAAAAAAGCACAAGCATGGTTTCTCCAGAGAGAAATCGCAGCTCATAAGCAAACTATACATGCTGCTGAGACATTACATGTCACATCGATGCCACGTGTCTTTACGGGATTTTTACGGGTTGTGTGTGAACGCACTCTCTGATTCCGGAAAATCACTGGCAGTGTGAATGAACCAAAATCAAACGAACCCGGGTCAAATCCCGGGTCGCTTTATCCGTGTATTTTCCGTAATCTCTGTGTGAAAGGGGCTACTGAACACGGGTGACCGGTTTGAAACGCACTACATACGAAACAACTTGGCCTGAGATGTCAAGAGTTCTTGAACCAAACCGAACAAGCTCTGAAATGAATGAATCACTACATTCAGAGAAAAAGACTTTAATGGAGAATATACTAATCACCCCATTAAGCATGGCAGATGATCGAATCAAAAACAGCACTTCAATATTAAACTATTCACTGTAAGTCAATTATTTCAAGTATAAAATGTAATATATTTGAAGATGGGTGAAATGTTCGTTTGCAATGCTTCAGAGGAGTGACCTGACACTTTTACCACGGTTCTCAATCAATGCTAACAGTTGGTACGTCCCATTCGCCTACCATTACCATGCCCTAAAAGTGTGTACTTTTTCACCATATGTACTCTTTCCTGTTCACATTTCAGTTAATTTGATTTACATTATACTCAACTATTCCTCCTGCCGTATTGGAGAGAAAAGAAGAAGCATGTTGATCAGCCAGTAATAAAGGTCACGGAGACGCAGATAAACACAAGGAAATAGACTTTAATGACAAATATACTGGAGACAGGAAGGCATAAACGAGAACCGACAAACACTGAGGGAGAACTGAGGACTTATAAGCATGGACTAAACAAAGGGAACAGATGAGAAAACTAGACACCAGGTATAAATAATGACAAATCAAGACAACTCACGGAGAGCAGAACAGATTAGACATGTGACAAAAACTCTCCTCGTGTTTTTTGCATACTGGCATTTTTAAATGTTAATGGCCAAACACATCTTTTTTGCGATTTGTATCTTTATACAAGTTGTTGCAGATTAAATATTGATTATTAATAAGGTTGGGTATCGTTTGATTTGCAACGATTCCAATTCTTATCGATTCCTAATTTTGATTCCAATAAGGTAAAAAAAAAAAAGTATGTATTATTTAAGCATTATTAAAGACAAGTAAACATTTAGTAAATAAAAAAGAACAAATAAAAAAATTAGCAATCGCACAAATAAATACAACTGAACAAAGATACGATTGAAAGATTAATATAAAGTGTTTTAAGATTTTCAAGTATTCAGGTAAAGAAATTAATCAAATGTAAAATAACACTGCGCTTTATAAATAACGCATACATTACAAATATAGTTACAGAAGTTATTCAGTCGAGAACAGCGAGCAAAGTTTCTCTTTGTCTTTTATTGTTTGATTAAAGACGGCAGCAGGAATATTAGGCTGCTGTCACTTTAAGAGATGCACGGATTCAATATACTGTCACACATGCATTTTCTTTCTCAGCTGTTTTCGTTCACTTTAGACATAACCGACTGTGTTTATTAGAATATTTAGCCATTTTTGTGTGTATTTGTCCGTTCAAGTGTATACAGTATGGGAGGCGGCTTTCTGTGCGCACGTTTTGGATGTGAAAACAGCACGCGGGTCTTCTTGTGCTTGAATGGTTTAAAGTAATGTTAAAATGCAGACAGAGAAATTGATAGGAGAAAATATCCGAAAGTATCCGATTTCAGAATTGGAATCGATTTTCGATTCCCAACCCTAATGTATTAATCGCTCAGACCCCTTTATCTGAACCTCTCTACCTAACCGTCAAACACACCAAACTTTGTGTTTGTAGTCCTGAACCGAACAGATACAGTAGTATGCGAATTGGAAGGCAGCAAGAGACTTCTCCGATTGGTCAATCTCTCCTCAGAATTATGGGTAATGTACTTATTTTTTTAAGAAGTAGCATTCACACTGATATGTAACTTCTATGATAGCATATATCCTCACTGAACAGCCTCAGAGTTCATGGTAGGTGCACACATTAAAGCCTTAACTGCCTTTGAGTTTGGCCCTGATGTTGATGCCTTCCTTCTGGAAGAGCCTTCATGTGAGGAGCGAGCCTTGATGCCTTAAAATACTGCTTAGTTAGGAGCTCTCACCTTGTGGAACAGAGCTAATTTGTCTTTAAAGAAAGACAGTCAAATCTCTCTCTCTCTAGAAAAACAGCGAGCCTGCATTAACGTCTGGACTGTGGTTAGTTGGCACCAGAAACTGCCTGAAGCATTTGAGAGGGAAAGAAACAGTTGAGCTATTATGCTCCTGTTGAATTAAATGTCAGCTTACGGATGTTGATTGTACTGTAACTGAATATCTCCGGCTTATGCATTTCAGAGTAAACCTCTCTCCGGTGATGTGTTGAATGCATCTTTGTGCCAGGACACGGTACTGTAGTGGATGGCCTAACATTGTCCAGGTCTTTTTCCTTACAGCTGTTATAATTTGACATGAATGAAAACAAAGGGTGTCAGGGATAGATGTAAAGTTTTGTTCTGTGAGTTGCAATATTGTTCGTATACTCAAGTCATTGTGCAGAAAGCCTGCTGCTGATTAAATTGTGAGACAAACACTAGTGATGTAGTACTCGAGTCCGGTCTCGAGACCGATTTCTGCTTTCTCGGACTCGTCTCGGACTTGTTCCTTCAAAGACTCGGTCTCGACTCGGACTCGACCCTTCAAAGACTCGGTCTCGACTCGGACTCGACCCTTCAAAGACTCGGTCTCGACTCGGACTCGACCCTTCAAAGACTCGGTCTCGACTCGGACTCGACCCTTCAAAGACTCGGTCTCGACTCGGACTCGACCCTTCAAAGACTCGGTCTCGACTCGGACTCGACCCTTCAAAGACTCGGTCTCGACTCGGACTCGACCCTTCAAAGACTCGGTCTTGACTCGGACTCGGCATAGGCGGTCTCGTCCCCATCACTATTTAAGACTGCTCCTCTAAACAATTACCAATCTAGCTTAGTCTGTAGGCCTAGCTGTTATTAACTGGGTTGATATTAAATCATGAATATCAAAACTGACATGTCGAGACAAAATCTCGACTCGGACTTGCTTCCTCAAAGACTCTGTCTTGACTCGGACTCGACTGTATTTGAAAACCAACGGACTCGTCTCGACTCAGACTCGACCCTTCAAAGACTCGGTCTTGACTCGGACTCGACTGTATTTGAAAACCAATGGACTCGGTCTTGACTCGGACTCGACCATTCAAAGACTCGGTCTTGACTCGGACTCGACCCTTCAAAGACTCGGTCTTGACTCGGACTCGACCCTTCAAAGACTCGGTCTTGACTCGGACTCGGCATAGGCGGTCTCGTCCCCATCACTATTTAAGACTGCTCCTCTAAACAATTACCAATCTAGCTTAGTCTGTAGGCCTAGCTGTTATTAACTGGGTTGATATTAAATCATGAATATCAAAACTGACATGTCGAGACAAAATCTCGACTCGGACTTGCTTCCTCAAAGACTCTGTCTTGACTCGGACTCGACTGTATTTGAAAACCAACGGACTCGTCTCGACTCAGACTCGACCCTTCAAAGACTCGGTCTTGACTCGGACTCGACTGTATTTGAAAACCAATGGACTCGGTCTTGACTCGGACTCGACCATTCAAAGACTCGGTCTTGACTCGGACTCGACCCTTCAAAGACTCGGTCTTGACTCGGACTCGACCCTTCAAAGACTCGGTCTTGACTCGGACTCGGCATAGGCGGTCTCGTCCCCATCACTATTTAAGACTGCTCCTCTAAACAATTACCAATCTAGCTTAGTCTGT